TGGAAGAAGAGGGAGAGAGGGAAAAGAGAGAATAAAATATTTTTTATTTTTTATTATTATTTTAATTTCGTATTATCTGTACTATTTTATCGTTCATCTTATACTACTTTATCTTGCAAAAATAGTATAAATTTGTTATAAGAAAAGAAACAAAATTATATATCCAAAATTATATATTATATCGTACTCTATCATATACTATTTCTATCTTGAAAAATAATATAAACTAGTTAAGCGAAAATGATTGTGTAAGAAGAAGGGAAGGTAGAAGAAAGATTATAAAATATAGTATTAATGTTATCCAACTTTAATCCGCTATAGATCCATGACAATAAACCTATAAATTTTAAAACTAAACCCAAACCACTACTTACTATATCCAAACCTCCGAACCTAAATCATATGAAATAATTCACAGTAACTCTTAATCCGTTATAGATCTCTGAAAATAAATTCACATAATTTAAAATTAAATTTAAGCCACTACTTACTATATCCAAACCTCCGAACGAAACTGTTTTTTCTTTCATCCTATATGGCTGTGAAAAAATAGTATAGCATTATAACAATATAGTAAACAACAATCTTTATGTAATGCCTTGGAAGAAATCGAAATCGGGTTGAATCTTGCAATCTCAAATTACTTCTTCGCATAATTATTGCACTCTTAAAGTAATTTGAAAAGCAAAATATATCAAATTCAAAAGAACATAATCGATATACTATAATATAAATGTATTGTTATATATTGACATATTATTCTATTTTATGACAATTGAATGAACCTAAATAATTTAATTTGAGAGTGTAATAATTACGAGAGGAAATTGTTCATCATTACTGCAAATTTACAGCGCATATTCATCTGTTTAAATATTTTATTAAACAATAATATAAAACAATTATGTAATAGACAAAAATACAAAAAAAAATAGTATAGTATGACTTAAAAGACGTATTCCTCAATTCCTTCGCCAGAAAATAAAATAGTATAGTAAAACTTTCAAATTTCATTGATTCTGATTAATAAGATATGCCTCCGAGAGATGGATAGTTTCTTCGTCTCTTCAGCCCTCAGCCACCATTCCTCCGCCGTCAGCCTTGCCAGCATCGCCACCAACATCTCCAGCCCTTCACCTTTGCATCTCCGCCTCTCATCTCCGCTGATTCATTTCAATTCAACTTATTATTAGAAATCGTAAATGTTAAAAAGAAAAACTAAATGTATAACAAAGAAAGGAAACAATTATAACATACCTTCGATCCAGACAGTGGATGTGCAGTGACCTTCTTCAATCCACCTAGCCATGGAGGTCTGATCATAAGTTTGCCCTGTTGAAATAATCAAAAAATGTGTCATCAAATCGAGAGAGATCGGGCAAAACGAAATCCTTTGAAACTGTTATGAATGCTGTAAGATGAAGAATCGACGAACATCTGGAAAATATGTCAAACACATGAGGCGCGAAGACAGGAGTGCTACAACAACAGAATACGTGTGAATCAAGGAAGATATTTGGAGTTGCCATATTCAGCAGTTCGTGAATATGTGACACATACAAGACTTGGCAAGTGGGGCGTGACTAAGCGAGTATATATATGATACTCCTAGGTGTGTGTGCTAGGGTTAGCACTTAAACGGGTTAGGGTACTCTGCGTATTGGAAGAGAGTTTAGGAGCTCATTGAGCAAACACAACTGTTGCTGTGTGGATAGCTTAGGAATTGGTCTGTGTCACTTACAAGTCTTTGGGATTGTGTAACAGTGTGTAATTCAGATTAAACAAGTCTGCAAAGATTGTTTAAGTGATTTCTAATAAAGGTTGTGGTTCAGTTACATAACTCTCGCACTAAGCTCTAAATTACATAACCTTCTGGGATCCGTGTTTTTACATTTGGTATCAGAGCGGATCATCTTTTTAGATCGACCGATCTAACAAACAGGTTGAGATCCTGTGGCAGTCATGGATACCATGAAGGAGCTCATCGCAGTTCAGAGACCAGTAATACTTGATGCATGAAACTTTGGTCATAGGAAGGCACAAATGCGACACATCATCTGAGGAATTGATGAAGATGCGCGGACAGCAGTTGTTGAAGGTTGGGTGCCACCCACAATCTTGGTTGAAGAAAAATCTGAAGACAAGACTGTGCCACTAAAACTGTCGTGAAGCCAAAACCAAAAGAAAGATCGACTGAGACCGACAAGAATGCCTCTAAGTACAACTCTAAAGCAGTGTCAGCCATATTCAGAGCTGTAGATCTTGATCAGTTCAAAATCATACAAGGATGTGAGACAGCTAAGGAAGCTTGGGATACACTTGTGAATCACTTTGAAGGGGACTCAAGTGTGAAAGAACTCGCATTGATCACTTAGCTTCTCAGTTCAAAAATCTCAGGATGGGTAAAGATGAGTCCATTACGAGTTTTACTGCAAAAATCAGTACAATAGCAAATGAGACATCGGTTTTGGGAAAGAAATACAAAGAAAAGAAGTTGGTCAAAAAGCTTCTAAGGTGTCACCACCTAAATATGCTGCACATAAGGCCGTCCTCAAATACTCCATGAATACAGATGATATGAAGTATGATCGTTTGTGTGGAATGCTTAAAGCAGAAGAGATGGAAGCATCAGCCAAAGAACCAGTTACTCACAAGGGAATTATGTTTCCTGCAGAGGCTGATAAAGACAGACTAAAGCAGATTGAAGACAATATGAGTCTGATGGCCAGGAACTTCAACAAAATGCTGAAACGAGTTAAGAAAGGCCAGAACCGAACATTTAGAAGAAGTCAACGGAACGATTCAGACAGAGGACCAAGGTCTGAAGGTGAGCGCTCTGGAAGAAAAAGAGAGATGCAGGGTCATGAGTGTGAAGGATTTGGTCATTTTAAGAATGAGTGTCCTATGACAAAGAGAAAGGAATGGAAGTGTCCTGAATGTCGTGGGTATGGTCATACTAAGTCTGAGTGTCCGGGTGCTTTGAAGAATAAATCTCTTGTTGTCTTTAGTGACAGTGAATCAGAGGATAGTGACGAGCCGAGTCAGGAGCTTATGCTTAACTTCGTAGCATTTACAGCTCAAGATGAGCACACCAAGAAGGGGGAAATAGACACAGTGTCAGACTCAGATGAGGACAGTGATTTTGATCTCACGTGTCACTGAGCAATGAAAACTTGCAACTTATCAAGGACATGGCCATGATGAAAGCTCAGTTGAATGTTCTGGAATGTGAAAAAGGTGGAAAATCAGACGTTGAGAAAGAAAAATCAACAGAAAACATTGGTGAAACCGAGAATCTCAAGAAAGAACTGGAGAGTGAGAAAGAAAGAAACAGAATTCTTGAAGCAAACGTTAAACGTATCTTAAAAGCATGTGCCAAGGAAGAAGAGAAAGCTAAAGGTCTACTGAGAGAGCTAGATGAAAATCATAAGAAAATCAGAATGCTGAACACTGGTACGAAGAGCTTGGACAAGATATTGTCAATGGGATAACCACCAAAGGCTAATTGGGGACTTGGATACACAAGAGGTACGAGTGTTACACAGCCATCACTGGCCAATATGATACAATCAAGTACAGGACCCATGTTTCAACCAGAAGAAAATAAAGTTCCAGACATGAAAAAGATGGTTAACACTGCTCATCAGAAGCCAAAAGAAAACAGCTTTGGAAAGAAACAGACTCGCAAAACGATCAGAAGATGCTTTCACTATAAGTGTAAAGGACATGTTAGGAGAGAATGCAAGTTGTTGAATCGAAGAAGGAGGATCATGAATGCCTGGAACAGAAATCTCTGCTTTCCTGAGCCTAAACACTTTGGGATGGTTTGGATAGCAAAGAAGGAACTGGAGGAAGTGTTGACTTCAGATGTTCCAGTGGAAGAAATTGTCTGCAATTTTGCACGAATCAGTTTTCAGGAGCTAGATAATATCAGCACAGGGGAAAGTCAGCTAATGCAGAGCAATGTCGCTTATACATCGACAAACAAGCAAGAAACCAACCCTTGGTACTTTGACAGTGGCTGTTCGAGACATATGATAGGAACCTCTGACGTTCTTGACACCTACACAGACATTAAGGGTGGAAAGGTAACATTTGGAGATGGTGGGCAAGGAAAAATCAAAGGAGTGGGCAACATAGACAAAGAGAACAAACTCCAACTGGTCAATGTCTACTATTTGAATGGACTGAAAGCCAATTTTATCAGCATAAGTCAGCTGTGTGACGAAGGGCTCAAAGTGTTGTTCACTCGGACTGACTGTCAAGCCATTGATGCAAGTGAGAATGTTTTCCTGTATGGAGTTAGGTCGGGTAACAACTATTACATGTGGAGCTAGTCGAATCAATGCCTATCTGCTCGAGACTCTCAACTGGATCTGTGACATCGCTGTCTTGGACATATGAATGTTCACCGTCTCAACAAGATATGGGTTCTAACGTTAGATGTTACACTTAATGTTCCACTTTAACATTCAAACTATGAAAATCCGATCAAAACTTTTTTTATGGTTTCTTCTGTTTATACACGCGAAACTACATTTTATATATTTTATAAATTTATTAATAATATAATATTTTATTTTAAATATAGTGATGAATTTTTTTTTGAAATTCTTAAATATATAAATATTGTGAGAATTAATATAAATATTCTTTCACTTATAGTTTTAAATGTTATTTTATTTTAAATTATTTTTTATATTAATTGTTTTTTGTCTTGAACTTATAAAAATGAGAAAGAGTTTTCCAAATTTTTAATAGAATTTAAAACTTTGGTAAAAAAAATCTCTGAATTTGTTTTAAGTTGTGGTTAATCAATATTAGTATCATCTAAATTTTTATGATCACTTTATCTATATTATTTTATGTATTTATTTTTTCCTACAAAATTTTGTTTGATTGCGAGAACTGGAAATTTAAATTTATTAGTGGTAAAAATTGAAAAATTGATTAAAAACAATATATAAAATAGGAGTTAATAATATCTTATTTGCACCAATTTCCTTCAATGTGTCAAAGTAATGAGTGGTCAGAACTATGTCCATGACGTCTTTCAAAGATGTCCTTGGAACAGACTCAGAGAAGGTGAGCACGTTGTTCCTCAGACCATCCACAATGGCTTATCTCTGACGAGCTATACCCAGACCTGAAAGGTATTTCGATTCAGCTTCTCCGTCGGCTCTCTTGATCTGTAGTATCTTCTCTGCCTCAGCTTTCTCAGTCGCCACCTCTCTCATTCTTGAAGCTGCGTAAATAGAACAGAAACATGTTAAAAGCTTTTCAGCAAAACAAAAGGCTGAGAACTTGTTGTATATGTCAGCAATTGAACAATACCTGCATTGATCACATTCATTGCTCTCTTGACGTGCACATCAGGTTCGATATCCACAATAAGCGTCTGTACTATCTCATACCCGTAATGAGACATACCCTATTATTATACATACAACATTATATAGAGTCTTTATGTATTTTGTTTTATGTGAAGTTTTTTAAAATTTTGCTAAAGGAGATGTGGCTTTTACCTTATCAAGCTCACTCTCAACTGTTTTTGCAATGTTGTTCTTTTGCTCAAAGGTTGAGTCTAGATCCAGCTTAGGCACACTTGCTCGGATCACTTTACAAAAGCAAAACCAATGGAGAATAAGTTATTTTTAGGCAAACACAACAAACAACACTAAGAAACAAACAAAAAGGAAAGGATATATGAAAACAAACCTAGCTAAACACTTAGCATGATAAGCTTGTGGCTTATCACTGTTGAAAGATAAACTTGATTTTGGATCAAGGTTAAATATTAGGTTAATGATCTAATAATATTTGGGCTAAACCCAATAATACTTGAACCAAGTTCTAGAGTTTTCTCTAGAAAAAATCTAATATTCTCACCTTTTTAAAATATCTAGAGAATTATAGAAAATAAATATCTAGAGATTTCTCTAGATAATTGTTATAAAATAATCTAGATATTAAAGTAGAATTCTCTAGATTTAGGAATAAAATATTTTAGATATTTTGTACTTTAGAGGCTATAATTAACTATCTCTTCTCTCATTTTATAACCAAGAAATTAAAAGATAATATTAAGAAAAGTCAAGTGAAGTTTCTAAGTTCTGAAAGTTTTAAAAACTTTCTTCTTCTTAAATTTGTTCTTTTGTCTTTCAAATTCTTAAACACCTTTTTCATCACTCTTAAAAGTTCTTTCTTTCCAACAATCACTTGTATCAAAGTTTTACAAAACAGCAATTAAAACACCATTTTTCAATCTCTTTTCGTTTGTGTTTAATTAGAATCTTAAGTTTCCTCTAAATTTTGCTAACCAAATTTAGTTGTGTAAGTTTTGATTCTTACAAGTTACAAACGCACCTATGGCGTAGTTTTCATGAAACCTAGAATCAAACCGTCGTCTGCTGGATGATAGTTACCGTAAGCAAGTGCCATGCGTCCACTTTTTCCGTTTCCGACAGTCCTTCACCGAACCAGAAGAGGATCATTAGCGTTTCTGTAAATCAATACACACTAACATTCTCTTCTTAGTTTGGATCAAAATTAACAAAATTGTAAAAAGATGTTCAACAATTACGGCTACAGGCAGGTGAATGGAGGTATCTAACGTGTTTCTCTTCTATTATGGGATTTTAATTCATTGTTACTGTTGGAACTTCACTAAGTTATATCTTGTTAAAAACCATTCAAATTAAGTCACTGAATGCTGTTCCTTAATGGGTTTTATACTGTGTACTTGAGTTTTATATAAATTGCTGTTTACTGCCAGATTTGTTTTTAAAAATCTAACATCATCTTCTTCCGTCTCTTTCTTTACTTGTCTCCTACGGCTAATCGTGCCTGGTTCTTGAAATTTTCTGTTGCCCCATCTCATTATTCTTCCTCCTTCACTGACAATTTTTAGACAAAAGATTATTTTTTCTTGTTTATGTAACCAAACAATGGTTCAAATACATGACTTATACCTTTGATTCTCATGTAGATTTAAGTCTGTTTCTGGAGATAGAATGAGAGAATCTCAATCTCAGTTTGCTATTATTGGTGTGATTTCAGTTAGAGTCGAACACAGAGAATAAAATTACAAATTTTCTATTATTGTTATATATATAAAAAGGAGAATTAACAAAAGAAATAGCATTTTATGACGAATTTGAGGAATTTCTTTTTCAATACTTCAAAACACGAGTCCTTACAGACAGCGGAATGGTAACATTACGAGTCCCATCAGTCCAAGTGAAGCTACCAAAGAAGTAAACAGTGTTACTCTTGTGACTCGTCGAAACCCTAACTCTAAACCCAAGTTTCTTCGTGCTCGAGTTAAACACCAGAGTCTCCGGTTCAACAACAATTTTTATCCCTTGTGGAGGCTCGATCACGGCTCTATAAACGGAATCCACAGGGCCAACGTTAGTCACCGTTCTCGTGAGGTTTACTTCTTTTTCGAGGTCCGGAATCGTGATTGCCGGATAGTTAAAGTCGAGCATAGATGGTAAAGGAGACGAGCATTTTGTTTGCTTTCCGGTGAGTACAGTGATTGCTGTGTCGTTGTAACCAGAGGCGCAGAAATAGTGGATGTAATCATCGAGGTTCAAGTCGTAAACTAGTCCTGGATCTTTGGCTCTTTCTGCGTTCACGAGTCCTGCTCCGTAGTCAAATGGATCAGCCAGTTTTCGTGGTGATCCTTCCGCGAAAATCGGATCCCCGGATGGATCGGTCTTCCACGCTATAAAGAAGAAGAAAACCCCAACAAAAGACACAAAAATATTAGGTTAAAGAGTGGATGTATTTTAGGTTAGGATTTTAGCACGGGTTTCGACTTCAAGAACCTGTAGTCATGATAGCGGATTTTAGGGCAGCAGGAGACCAGTCAGGGTGTAATGCTTTAAGTAGCGTGACGACTCCTGCAACAATGGGAGTGGAAAGGGATGTTCCTTGAACTATGGTGAAGTCTCCGAATCTATCGGGTTTGTCTCTCACGCCTGCTCCTAGAAGAATCACACCGGGGGCTACAATATCAGGCTGCATCATTTATTGAAAAAAAGAAAATACTCTAGTCAGTAACTTCTATCCTTGGTAATGAGAGACAAGATTTCAAGAAAACTTTGTTTAGAAGAAAAAAACCTTGAGAATTGCTGGAGAGACTGAATTAGGGCCTCTACATGAGAATCCTGCAACTGTAGTCGCTTTAGGACGTCCCAGGAGCGTTTTGCCATGGCTTATTGTAATCGTGGGTGAACTAAAGGCGCAAGAAAATTATCAGTTTTACATACCGTGACTTGGGAAGGATGACTAGTCGCGGAAAAAGAAATATAATACCTCGTCGAGCGGATGTACTGTAGAATCTTAGTCCCGACTTCATAGTCTACGGCGGCGGCTGGAGATTGAAGCATCATTTCAACAAAATAATCAGAACTTCGTGCAATGATCATCCCTGCTATGGACATGAACTTCGTCATAACGTTGCTCATGTCATTATCTTCTGTCAGAAATGCTAGGATAATTTTTCCCTGCACGTCAACAGTGGTTGTTTCCCAGTCTTCGAGGTAAACTAACTCAGCAGTTACTGTGTCGCCTAAATACATAGATTGACCCTGAAACAGTTTTTTACGAGAAAAAAAGAAGAGTTAAAAGCTTTTGACACCATTGAAAACAAGTAAAAAAAACACTATAAAAATAAAAAGAAGAAGAAGAAGCACTTTTTTGCATACCATTAGGGTTACGTTGTTTCCAAGAGTCATGTCTACATACATGGTACGGTCCATGCTAGTTGCACCGACAGTGAACAACCATGGAGCTATATTAGACGTACCGTAAGCGTCGCTGCCTTGATTAGCAGAACCAGTTATAACCGGAATTCCCTTCATCACCGCGTGGAACGATCCAAGCTCAAGATCTTCTCCAATACTGGTGAATGAAAGATAAGGAGGCCCACCTGGGGCGAGTGAAACCGACAATACATCAACGCCGTCTTTGATGGCCTCATCAAATGCCCTGACACAATCCACAACGCCAGAACCAGCAGGTGATATACCCCAGCTAACCTTGTACATAGCTATACGAGCCTTTGGAGCAGTGCCTCTGAAGACTCCACTTGCAAGACCACCGTATGACGCGTTGCGCACGAATGAAGACGCTCCAATTGATGAGCATACCGTTCCGTGTGATAGGATACCTCTAGGGGACAAATATTCGTCCTCGGCGAGTATTTTCCCATTGAGAGTCTCATTCCATCCATCAAAGAAGTACTTTGCTCCTACTAACTTCCGGTTGCAATGCTTCTCGGGGTCAAATTGATCTCCGGCTACACACTTCCCTTTCCAATGTTTAGGTATTGGTCCGAGCCCTTCGTCGTAATAGGCAGGAGACTCGGGCCATACTCCTGTGTCAAGAAAACCCATGACAAGTTCACTTCCCATGTCGCTGTCTTGGAGAAGTCCTTTGGGCAAGACTGGGGAAATACGCAAATAGTCGTTAATCCTCGTGCCTAGCAACTGAATCTTTCTATCACGTGCGACAGTGAAAACGTCAGGACGGTCTGGATAAAAATGAAACAAAATGTGTCAGAAGATGTCTTCTCAGAAGAGCTCTTAAATACTTGTTTTCACAAACAAACAAAAAAAGACAAACCTGAAAGCTTCTTAGCTTGTGACTTTGTAAGCCTGGCTGCAAACCCTGAAAATCCATGGTGATAGTTGTAGATGATGGACGCTCGAGCAGCTTCCGGGCTTCATCAAATTCAAAATCATAAAACAAAATCATTAACTTCAAAAACCATGTGACACCATCATCATCATCATCATTTGAAAAGCGAAATCAAGAACCCAGTGGTTTTTATCACATACCTTTCGAAAACCGATTCCAACATCCTGTGATGTGATTCAGAGACCAACTCAGGATCATCGTGTTGCCTCTCGCCTAAATAAACTATATAACTCTAACTCAATCAGAAAAAAATGGAAAAACAGAATGTTTCATCAGTCACAGTTTAACCAAACATAACACAACCAATGAAAAACCATAAGAACAAACCCAAAAACCATTTTACAAACCTTTATCTCCTCATTACCGCTTTCTTGAGCAAAGACGTGAAAACTGCAATTTAGAAAGAAAAAGATCCCAATAAAGAGACATGCTTTGGAACTTCCCTTCACAAATCCCATGTTCTTGGGTTTGTTCTTCTCTCGGAAGAACCAATAGCTTCTTTCCTTTTGGAATAAATTTATTGAATCTGCATTTTTATGCTTTAAATAGTCTTTAACAGCTTACAGAACGACAATAGCAAACAGATATGAATAGCCGTTATTTTCTCACCATAAACAATTGCCAAAAATAAAAACAGCTTAAACGAACAAACCAATCTGGGTACCGTAATGTGACTATTGTCCTTATCGATTTAAGGGAGTATTTGGAGAAATGTAGTTTTAAGTTATAAATAACAGAGATATGGATAGTTTTGTTTAAGTCTGTGTTTTTAATGTCGAAACTGCTCTAGTGTCTTTATAGACTGAGACAGATAACTATCTTGGAGTTTTTTGTTTTGTTATACAGATGAGAGAGAGAGGCAGTTTTTTTATTGAAACAAATTGAATATACTTTTTTTTATATAAAAAAAATTATATTCCATCTTAAAAGAAAAAGCTATTTACGGCGAGTCCATGCGTTCTTTTTAAAAAAAAACTTCAAAATTGAAAAGATAAGAGATCGCTGAGCTGTGTACTATCTCCAATTGGTAACACATTTTTTATATCGCGGAATTGCAGAATGGCGGAAAAAAAAATAAATTGCAGAATAATTTATTGCGGAATAATTTATTACAGAATTACAGAACAAATAATACGATTGGATAAATTATGGCGGAATTACAGAATTGCAGAATATACTTTTTGAAAATATTCTGCTTTTTACTATATATTATAAAAAATAAAATATTAATAATTCAATCAATTATTATAAAATAATATAATTCTAATTGTAACTTTTTAATAATTTGTTTTACATAAAAAAAGTATTGCAACCCTTAAATAATTGATATAACTTTATCATTAAATAATTTTTTGTAACACTAAATTATTTATTTGTATTTATTTAAATAATAAAATATAATTGAATAATATAAACATTGATTCTGCAAATAATCTACTCCAAACACGCTTTTTCGCTTAATGAAGATTTCTTTGTATTTTCTGTAAGCAAAAACGCAATTCCATAGATCTTGCGTTTTTGCATTTTTCCGCAGGTTTTTTTTATTGGCAAAATTCTTGCGTTTTTAGGTTTTTTCACCATTCCACCATTCCACAAATGTTACCCGTATTTTCTCAAGTTTCTTTTACTTTTTCTTCTAACCTTAACCATTGAAATTAAACCGGGGTTTACTTTTTCTTCTAACCATTCTTCATTTTTTTGTCTCATGCCCAAAGCCGTGGCATTTGTCTCAGGTTTCAACGTATATAAATTTTAGGAGCTGCCAAACTTTCAAAATATTATCTATTAAAGTGGTTTAATAGTTGGAGTTTCAGTTATAACCTAAGATCGACACTTTTGCTGAGATACTTTATTTTAATTATAGTTTTGGAAAAAAACAAGTCTACTATAAAAATAAGTTTTTATGTCAAAAATAGCATGAACACTAAAAAAAATATACTAACTTTACTATTCTTTTTATATTTTTTTTCCCTTTAAAAAAAGTTTGTATATTTTAAGAAAGTGTCGTTTAAGTCTTTCCTAAATCAAAAATCTTGGTCAATTATTTAAAAAGCCTTTCATAAATGTATATAATTGTTTCCGAAACATATATATATATATATATTTTTATTTGTTTAAGTAAATAAATTCCTAAAAATTTCTAATGATAGTGTCTTCCATTGGTTATACACTTTTAACTTTCGTACATTTAAGTTCTCCAAGTTTGTGGTTCAATTCCATATAAGTGCATAAATACAGTTTTAACTAGTTTATTAAGTATTTAGGAAAATGATTGAATCTTAAAACTTTCGAAATTGATAAATTAGTATATTTTGTTAGTACAAATTAGTACAATCGATTTTATCAAAACTTCAGTTCATACAACTGCATTTCACAACAACAGTTTTCAAAAATTTCAGGAAAACCTTCTTAAATTTGTAAAAAAAAACTTCCTAGATTTGTAAATAAATTAATTAGGAAGATGGCTACTCCAATCTCCATTAACTTGTAAAAGAGTTTCCTAGAGACTAGAGTAAAGTATATAAAAACGAGAAGTGAACCAGATAGTAGTAAACATATAAAGCAAAGGGAAAACTCTGATAGTAGTTGATAGATAAAGCAAAGGGAATACATGGACAATACATTGATCATACGGCTTTTTCGTGACAATGTCACCCTGGATGACAATTTGAAACATTTCACTGACACTCTACTAAAGCATCATAACTAGATGAAAAACCAAATAAGCAAAAATCTGCGGGCATATTAGGAAGAATTTTTACATATTTAGGATGGTTTCTCCAAATATCATTTATCTTATTTTTTAGATTGTTAACTTGTTTGTCTTTACAAGAATTTAAAAGAAAATCAATAAATGTTATATTCCATGCTTCAATTTCTTTCACAACTTTTCCTTTTATACAAGATTGCAATTCAGAACATCATTTCATACGATTAAGTTCCACAACATCAATTTCAGAAAAGTCTTTCTAAATTTGTAAATAAATAAATTAGTAAGGTCTTCTTGAATTTATAAGATAATTTCCCAAATTATTACAAATAGTTGAATTAGTATACTGTTTTTTTAGTGGAACTTAGAATAATCAAATTTTAATCCAATCTATACATAAAAAAAAGGTAAAAACAAAGAACAAACCCAAATATAATCTCACCACTTATACTTTCATTTTGCGATTTGGGATTTCTTAATCTCAAATCAAAATCAAAAATTTCAATTGTGCTCTTCTTTAAAATCAGGGTTTCATGAAAATGACTAATGATCGTGTTCTCCCTTTTATGAATCATTAAGTTTCGTTCCTGTGTAGCTAAAGTGTTTTCATATGTTTGTGCATTTTTGTGTCTTTTGTAGAAAACAATACGGACGGAAAAGAGGAAGATCAACTTGAAGTCGAACTTTTTGACCAACTTTTTTTTAGGTACTTTTTGTGGTAGACATATATATCCCAATTTTTATGTTCTTAGCAACTTCCAAATAACTGATTTGGTTTTTAGATAGATCATGATGGGGAAATTAAAGAAAAAAGCTTATAGATTATGCATTAGAACTGTCCTCATACAGAAGAACAACAAAGTTCTCATTATCGTTTACCATAGATGTAAATTAGTAAATGGAAAGAGTTCAAATCAAATGGCATCTGATTCTATTACGATGGATTCCGCTTTTTGTGTCAATCTTTTTGATTGATCAATTTGTTTATTCAGCAAATCTTTTTTGGCTATAAAAACCTCAACATCAGTATTAGAGGGAAAATGAGCACATTTCCTAAAATGTTTTCTCTAGTAATAACATAAGTTCATCACGACTAAGAGGACTGCACCGACCTAGCTCGGATAAAAGAAAAACTTCTAAAGATAACATTCGAAGTCCGGAAACGTCGGATCAACTCGAAGGATAAAGGAGAATTTCTATATTCTTTGGAGAATAAGGGATATTTCCATATCGCAAATATAGAAATATTCACCAAAAGAAAAAAGGAAAAGGAGTTCGGAGCAACTGACCTCTGATCCTTATAAATAAGAAGACTCTGAAGCCAAGAAAAACAACTCATACAATCTTGAGAGCATCAGAGCTAAAACCAGAGACTCTAACGCTTTCTAGTTTACTTAGCAACCATCTTATTTTACCTCGGCATAACCACTCGGTTATTCCATTCTTTGTAATCGCTTCGCTTATTGCTATTAATAAAAGATCTTATTCTCTAAAACCCACAACTGTTAATCAAAACCCTAGTGGTGATTTTCTGGTTCAACAGTTGGCGCCGTCTGTGGGGACTAGGAGAATAGAATTGTTAAAAAACTAGCAACTAAAAGCCGAAGCGATGACCCTTCCAATCGATAACAGCGACCTCATCTGTAACAACGACGATACCACCACGCATACTGAGACGTCTGGTCTCGACGAGCATGGCAACCCTACCAACGCGAATCCACCCACAGGAACACCCCCAGCTCCTATCCTCGCCACCGACCTTGCAGCAGCAATCCAGGCTGCCTTGCTCCCCCTCACGAAAAACCTGGTGTCCAAACTAGACACCCTTCAGGCCCAGCAAGCCAAATACGACGAGCAGCTCAGCGCCTTCGCGGTCGCAACCACCGCAAGATCAGAACCGATCGGACGACGATTAATCTTTGAAACGCCGAAGCAAGACAACACTCAAGGCACGGCACCATCCACTAAGGAGCCATCAGACGAACTAAATTTTGAGATCGCGAGGTTGCACCAACGAATCAACGCAATCGGATCCCAAGTCCACCGCGCCACCAGCTCGGCACCCGAGATCTCGACCATACTATCAGATGCCGAACGCAATCTGTTCGCCCCACGGATCACCGACGTGCGACTTGGCAAGGCAATTAAACTGAAGCTCCCGTATTACAACAGGATGGAAGACCCTAACCTATGGCTGACCGGATTCAACGTCGCCATGAAGAGGCAACGGTTCGAAACCGACCTCGAACGCAAAGCTAACCACTGTCAAACCTTGGTAAAACACCTCAGCAAGGACGCTCTTAAGTGGTTCTCCAACCTCCCGCCGGCGTCAATCAAATCCTTCAAAGACTTGACCCACGCCTTTATAAAACATTATTCCATGTTCATCACGAAGAGGATGGTCAACCTATTTACTCTAGTACAAGAAGCGCGAAGAAAAAGAAAAGGATAAAGGAGCGGAGCACCGGAAAGATGAAGGCGAGCATGACAATCCACCCCCTCCGCCAAAGCGACGAGTTAACATGATCATGGGAGAACTCCCCGACTGCGACGATTCGGTTCGCGCCATCAAAGAATATGGCCGCAAAGCAATCGCTTCACGAAAATTCCCTCGCCTGGTGGACTACCACCCAACGATTACATTCACGTCGAAAGACATGCACGGGTTACACACCCCGCAGAACGACCCACTAGTGGTCAAACTACACATCCACGACAGTGAGGTGGCTAAAGTATTGGTGGATACCGGCAGCACCGTCAATATCATCTTCAAAGATACATTGACCAAGATGGGGCTCCAAGACAAAGACATCAAGGCAGCACCAAAGCCTTTGACTGGCTTTGCCACCGAGTCCTTCTTCAGCCTCAGGACCATACGACTCACAGTCTACGTCGGCGGAGTGACAAAAATTGTCAAATTTACTGTCATGGATAAACCAGCAATCTACAATGCCATACTTGGCACACCTTGGATTCACGAGATGAAAGCTATCGTGTCGACCTACCATCAATGCATGAAGTTTGCTACTTCGGCCGAAGTTTTCATGCTTCACGGCAATCAGCAGATGGCAAGATCTTGCTTTATTAGTGAATGCAAGGTGCGGCTCTCCGCGGTA